CTCCGCAGTGCAATAGAGCAGCCTCGTCCTGGGGGAACCGCCTGCATGATCACGGTATCCCCTACGCCAGGTAAGAATAATTTAGCAAGAAAAATACGAGAACGTCTATCAACTGTGTAACATCTCGTCACCGCGATTCAGGAATTATTGAATTTACGTGCAGCGACATTTGTTGATAACAAACTAAATAGAAAAAATCTTACGTTACGGACGTTTTTTCCCGGTTAGGTTACCCCTCCGCATCGCCCCATAAGGAACTTCGTTCCAAAAAATCATTAAGTAATCGGGGATAAATCACATACTTACGTTCCTCTGCTCCTGTCCCTACTAAGATTTCCTGTACTTTGGGAACCAGAGATTAATCTACATACTTAAACACGTTTATAGAGCTATCACTGTAGTTGGCTTTTTTGGAACGAAGTTCCTTATGGGACGATACATCCATACACATCACATCCCATCACTATTTAGCCCCATCACTCCCATACCATCTCATCGCTTCCATCATTATTTAGCCACTTCAATACAGATGATAGCTTCGCCTTATGGCGGGAATTTTCTCGACGCATCTCAAAGCTTTCATAGCAATTTTGATATAAATTAAAAATTTGAGAATTTTCTTGCTTTTTCTAATATTACAAATAATAGTTGGATGTTCAACACATCTGTATTGAGCTGGAACTAGAGTGAAACGCTCTATAAACGCCTGAACTGGCCAGCGAAGAAAAATACATTCAGTAAAACTACATTCGCTAAAATCAAGTGCTGCGAACAAAATAGTTAAAAACATAATAGTGCTAAATTATTTGGTTTTTTAATCATATTGTGGGAAACTAGACGAGTCAAAAACATAGTACTTAATATGCAGCATACTTTGTAGGCAGCGGCTTGGTTCTGTCTCTGGCATTGCTCAAGTCCATGGGCGACGGTAACCACTCACCATCAGGTAGGCCGTGCGCTCGTCTGCCGACAAGGGCAAAATAAAAAAATAAAAAAAAATTACTTATGTACTTACCTTATACTTAATTAAGTAATTGATATGGGTAGTCACCCTATGCAGCATAGAATGTTTTTTACTCCAATTAATATCTAAGAAGTTTCAACCACGTCGATACAAGGGCTTTCGCTCCAAGTCCACTTCGTGACAGACACAGGCACACGGAAAGACCCAACGGCTTATCTAATAGCATAATAGATATTTTTCCCGTTTCATTTTTGTTTAAATAAAATTTTAAGTTACGAATCCACTTGTAGTCTATCTTCGTAGGGGCCGTCCTTAGAAATTTCGCAAATAATGCTCTACTCGTGGCGACATAATTATAAAGGTCTATTTTAAAAGTTATATGAAGCACGACAACATCAGAACAAATTCGAACTCACATTTTGTTGTATCCGCATAAAGGTAATTTTGAGAAAATAATTAACTGAATTATTTTTTATCTAATTTGGTTTTGTTTCTGAACAGTTTCATACTTTTCGTGTTCTTTGATTATGTTTCCATTTTATATTGTTCCATATCTACGAATAAATAATAAGTCCATATTAGAAATTGACGCTGTGTTAGTTGATACTTTTTGCTTTCACAAAGCATATTCGACCATAAGAACAAGTAAATACATTCAGAATTCAAATACCCAAAATAGTATATTTGACAGATTTTTTATTGACAGAACAACCCGAGAGCTTCATGATTAGAGTCACCAACTTCTACTGACTAGTGAACATTTGATAAAAATATTGAGATTGAAATATTGGTTTTAGTCAGGTAGAACACGTGATGAGTTGAGGTTTATTTTGTAAGAAAGTCTATTTAAAAAACACTTCAGAGTTTGACCTGATACCTCAAGATAACCAATGCATTCACGTTATGTTCTCTATGGATTCCGGTAGCCACGTAACACCAGATCGGCCGTGAATTTGTCTAATACCAGAAATATATCTTTAAAGAAAACGTTTTGAAACAAAAAGATCAAAGACACACACTAAACAGTCGTCCATTGAATACTGACACTGCCTAAGTTTCACGAATTTCTCAAGTCCAATACAAAGTTTGTCAATATTTCCGTTGTGCCGGAGTGATGGCCAACACTCATTGATTGGGCCGGCCGCTGAAGCGGAAAATAAAGTTTAGACGCTGTCCTCGGGGAGCCGATGAGAAGTGACGGACTGAAAGTTTCGTGAAAATACAAAAGGGATCTTTTTGGCAAATTGATATGTAAGTGTTTTAGTGGGAATGTGTGTTTTTTTTTTTGGCGATAGATATCGTAAATCTTGCGTAAAAATCAAAAAATGTCATTACGGATCCTCTTGATCCATTAACGGTGCTTTTAGGTAACACAAGCACCGGTCACCGTCCTCGTCGAATTCGTCGCTTTCGACGTCTTAAAATAAAATCACCAAATTTAAACGAGATAATTCATTTGATTCCATTTTATAAATAAATGAATGGTAATTAGTAAAAATATTTGCCAAACGAACAGTAGAACAAAAATTGTTTGTATGCATAATTAAATTAATTATTGGCATCACTTAACAAATCACAACAGATGTAATTGAGACTTCACTTATTTGTCTCAATGCAAGCAGCGGCATATATACTGTGATAACTATGGGCTCAACCGCAAAAACATCTTCGGTTTTTAATAGTCCGTAACACCATTTACTAAGGTATGAAAATATAGCTAGGAATAGTGTTAATTTAAAACTCACCTTTCTTTCAATGATACTCCAAAGTTACCCTTTTGACAGATTCCTGTACATTAACCATTTTAACCACAAAAACTCAATCCAACTTTATTTGCAATAATTTTCTCTATCCCGAGATTCGCCTAACGAAATTTTAGATTTAACTCAAAATTTCTAGTTAACACCCACTTAATACAAATGAAGTTATAAATTCCAATTAGATTAAAGGATCCGCAAGCTTTGAAACAAGTTTGTTCAAATAATTATCGGAATGTAACTCCCCCTGGATCCCTCGCATTCCAATGGCAAACTAAGCTCGACTATATGAAACTATGTCAATATTTACTTGGCTAAATTGAAACCAAGCGTTTTGCACTAAAGGCTACCTTGCGCAGTTTATTTGTTTATTTGCCTAGATGGAAGGTCTAATTTTCGGCCCATCTAGTGTTAAATGGTTATTAGAGTCTATAGCCATCACAACGTGAATACATTTACCCATCCTGAGAGATAAATCGAAATCTCAATTGTATTTAATGGGGTTGATTTTAGGGAGGTTTTCTTTTTATGAGCTACCCCCAAATGTTTTAAACAATCCCGAATGCTAATTCCATAATCATGCTCCCGTGTAGTCCTTTCTCCTGTGTTACATACCAGAAGATTGATCACTTAATTTTAGATTGTGATGGTAAAACATTTTATATATATACGAGTAAGCTTCACATACAATGAGGCACAAACGACAAAAAAAATTCAAGTACAAAAAATCTATATTATTTTATTTGCAATGAAAATCATTACGTCACGCAACAATCAAACAGACATTTCCCCGCGAACGGTTACGGTCCTAGTTCATTTCTCGAAACAATCCATCACATATAAAACAGAAACACGTAGAGGCTGTCACAGAGAACGCTAATACATCTTCCGAAACAAGGTCACGATAAAATAACATGACATCTCAGAGACGTGACGTACCAGCGCAGAATTAATACTCATTAATGTAAGTAAGCGCTGTGATCGCAGCGAACGAGTACTTTGATTTAAGATGACACAGGGATGTGAATCAGTGTCTTCTATATCTATACTAATATTATAAAGAGGAAAGATTTGTTTGTTTGTTTGTTTCGAATAGGCTCCGAAACTACTGGACCGATTTGAAAAATTATTTTTCCATTAGAAGCCGACATTGTCCCTGATGAACATAGGCTACTTTTTTTTATTTTTTATTTTTTGGTTTCATGTATGTTTTAATGTTTCCGAAGCGAAGCGAGGGCGGGTCGCTAGTGTTTAATAAAAATACGTGTGGTGTCGTGGGACAACGGATAGGAACGAATTTCCTTATTATAAAAATATTAATTTTAAGTTCTATTCGAGGTATAAAGAAAATAAAACCGGATGTTTCGCAGCAACCCACGGTCATTTGGTAACGTGCGAACTATTGCGGTACACCTCATTCACGGTTGTTTGCATAAGAGTTAGTGTATTGCGCAAACGAACGCTCTGAGACTGTGGTCAAATATGTTATTTTTTGTACGTTTGTGTGTGCATTACTAATAAAAATCTTACGTTAGGGACGTTTTCTCCCGGTTAGGGTACCCCTCCGCATCGTCCCATAAGAAACTTCGTTCCAATATTAGCATTTTCTCAATTTTCCCGAGTTATACTTTTTTTGTTGATGGACATTCCAATTTGGATGCCGCCGCCCACCTTGAGACAATATGAGTTCTCGATATCAATTGTACAGAATAATTATTGTACCACCCTTCAAACCGGATGACATTGTTGCTTCAAAATGGAAGAGGGTATTGTGGTAGCACCCGTACGGAGCTCACGGGCTCAACCTGAGTGAATTTGCTAATACTAGCCCCTAGCAAAAGCAGTGCTTCGCAGAATTTACCACAGATTTGGAATCACCTATTAAAAGATCCGGTCAGAAACTCAATTGGCAAAAGACTCGAAAGACACTCCACCACCAGTAATTATAGAAATTAAAATTTTTGCGCATTCGATTTTTATTACACGACGTATATTCCTTGCTCGTGGAAATGATTCGTGAACATTTGTTAAATACGTATTTCATTAGATAAATTGGTACCTTCCTGCGGGATTTGAGTACCGGTATTGTCGCATCGCTCGATACTAGTACATCGAGGGTGGTTCATTTTTTATGAGGGTAGATCTTAGACTTGTCAACTCACGCCCGGTCATTGAACCTATCGCATGGCCAGTTACTCGAAAATACTCTCCGACCGCACATCCGTTACATCTTAATATTTTGGACTAGTGCTAATTTTCTCTTACGAACTCCTACGGACGATCATCATCGTCGTTGTGCGAGCATTTGACCGGCTTAGCGAACACAACTAATTTAAAGAAGAGCTCTCCAGTCGTCAAACCGACCGCCGCCATTACGTCTCGTCCGCCAGTCACATTTCCTGGACACTGCAGCCTACAAGACGCCGGGTTGACAGGTACGTCTACTATTCAAATCAAAATTACTTAGCCTCGGCCCGCCCTTCTTTCTGATTACTCTTTGGTAATACTCGCCCCCCGAAGGAACCTTCTAGATACTAGAACCAACGCATCACCGTGGTGAAAATATGTAAGGATTTAGTGTTTTTCCCACCAGAGGTCTTAATCGTTAAAGCCACGTTGATTTCTATAATAGTAACCTCATGTTGAAATTTCACACGGCTCGGAACCGTCCTTCACTCAATTCACGCAGCGATCACGAGATCAGCTTGACGGATAGGACTGTCATTTTTCCAATGGTTTGGCGACTCAAATCTCTATGGGGCGCACTGGAGCTCGCATCACCTACAACAGAGGTTCCGTATCCCCTATGCATCTAAAGGAAGTCAAGGCTGTCTACCCGTGCATACCATAATAAATCCTGGAATAGATATGTCTATATCAGAATGGTTTTCCTTTAATTTATTTTTAGTTGCTTAGATTGGATGGACTAGCTCACGGCCCACCTAGTGTTAAGTGGTCACCAGAGCCCAAAGACATCTATAACGTAAATACCACCATCTACCTTGATATATGAGTTCTAAGTCTCAGTTTTTACTAAAGTACAAAATAGGCAGGGTGGTGCCACCTACCCGTGCAGGTTCGCAAGACCGCCAGTATATGCCCTACCACTAGTGTATATCCACCAGTCACCGGTCAAGAGTTCGACGTGCGAACTAACCCAAAGACACAGGATCGCCGGATCGTCTCAGTGGGTCGCGATTCCGATACAGCGGTAGATTCTGCGAAGCACTCCTCTTGCTAGGGCTAGTGTTAGCAAATTCTCTCAGGTTGAGCCCGTGAGCTCACCTACCTATCCGACCGTGGCCTGAAAAGCCTCTTAGTCATTAACTCCTTATGCATAACATTCCAGTTTATTAGAACAGCCAATTCGGTTTTGCCATGTAAATTCCTCAAATATTTTCAAAGACTTCTAACGTTTGGTATATATTTTTAATTTCTTTTGTAATATATTTTTCATTGAAGGACACTGAATGGTTGTCTCACCTTTCTTCCTTAGGTTTGAAAAGTAATTAATTTTATTAATTGGTTTCAAAATCAAAACGAAATTGGTTTCTTGTTTTTGTTTTACACAGAATTTTATTAACACATATTTTTTTCACTAAAGGACCCTTAATTGGATCGACATTAAAAGTAATTTACTAATAGTTTATTTTATAATTAATTAGGCGGAAAATTCTTCAAATTTTCGAAATAAATTGTTGAATTGGATGAAAAGTATTCAATATTTTGAAACATTTATTTATTTCGCTCTATTATATGGTTGTCGCAATCAACACGAGATTGCCGCAGCCAATACGTGATACGGGACGCAAGCGCCGCCTGTCGGCGTTCGATGGAGTCAACTATCCACCGGCCGAGCGGAGCACACGACCAACACTTGTCCTGGGACAGTCGGCTAGAGCGGTCGATATTGAACCATTGCTGTTGTACCTACAAGCTGTGAAACAGCCTGTGAATCATTAAACATTATAAGCTGACCGAGTAAACTACACTACTATGTTTCGTTTATCTGACATTACCCAACGACGCCCACTAAAAGAAGATTAAGCATCATGGTCCCAGCCCTTTTTTTCGGGCTGGGGGCCGAACCTCCTACGATGTCCCCACGCCTAAGGGGTGCGCGGCGTATGTGGGACTCAACGATCTGCAGGTATTGAGAGCAAACCGCGGGCCCAAGGAATTTTAGGGTCCACCCACTAAACGACTCCCCTGCACTCTTACACCCGATGACCGATTCCCTCCGAGACCAGAACCCGGATGAGGTAGGGGGGTTACCGCGGTCAACACTAAAACCAGACAGCGCGGCTCACCCCAAGGACGCTCAGCTGACGGAGCCTTCGAGGTGAATCGAAGGCTCTGAAACGTCGGCCGTCTCGGTATGGCAGCCCGTCAGGCCGCCCAGACGGTGCCGCTGGTGTCCCGGAATACCCCGCTGGACCAGAACCAGCCTGCCGAGTCGGGACGCGATACACTGCCAACCGGTCGCTCTATTACTCCTCGGCAGCGCGCTAGAGTGCTGGTAGCGCGCCACGCGGCCTCTACCCCCTCAGGTCACCTCTTGACCTACACCGGGGGGAAGCCGCCATCTACAGCTCGGCGGCGACAGATAGGTGCGGAGAGGGATGAGCTCTCCCTCTCTCGTTCCGCCGCCTCCTTCTGTGAAATGGTGTACTCGCAGAAGTCGAGCATCACCTTCCAGGACTCATCGCTGCCGAGCATCGTAGCCACGACGGTCGGCATGGACCCAGCCCTACCTATGTCATATAACTCGAAATTCCTTCGCTGGTCGCTGTGTATTTCTAGGGGTACCGACCGACAGAAGACTTCATGTACTAATTTATCGGCGATCGTCGAGGCTTCTTGATTACGAATGACGAAGACTTCGGGCCACTTGGTGAAACAATTCATCACCACCATGAAGTTCTAGTTTCCACTGTCACTTTCCGGAAACGGGCCGGTGACGTCCAATACAATTCTTTCCCACGGCGCTCCAACGTTGTACAATTTCAGTGCACCTTTGCTACGTGTGTGAGGACCTTTAACCGCAGCACAACTGGTACATTTACGACACCAGTCCTCAACATCATCTCGGCAATGGATCCAGTGAAATCATTTTCGCAATTTGAAAAGCGTCCTTTTTACCCCTAAATGCCCACCCGAAAAGCCTGGGTGGTACAGCTGTAGGATATCTGGTACCATCGACTTTGGGACTATCGTTTGCAGATGATTTTGTCTCCCCGGGCATTTTCCCATCTTCGACACAAAACTCCTTCTTGGATGACCAAGCTGTCCCACTGTGTCCAATAACTCTTCGTAGTTGGGCTCATAGCTGCATCATCATCCCTCTTCTGACACCAAATTGTTACGCGCTGGGGTTCGGGATAAATAAAATTTCACCAAAGTACAATTTAAAAACTGTATTCAATACTTAAAACACTTCACAAACACTTTAAAACACCCAACAAACACTTTAAAACTCTCAATTCGCTTGTCCCCCTTCGCTTCAGGTGATCCGTTTGCTGTTTCGCTTCGAGTAGTTCCGTAATTACTAACTGAGTTCTCGAGCATTCTGATCCTTCCATATTCGTTCGACTAGTCGGCGATAGATGGCGTTACTCTTACCGGCGTAACAATACGTATTCTGAGCCCACGCGGGTAGGTATAACTTTTCTGATTCTGTCTATCTACCGCGAGCAGTCATCGGTCGTTTGAAGAACGGAACTACCATTTTAAATACAATTGAGATAAAAAATACAAAAAATATGTTTCTTTTATTGTTAGTGTCCTATGGCATTGGAGCGGTATTATTTACATAACTCTGTAAATGTCCAGGTTGATTAATCTGACTTTCTGGATGCAGTTGGACGCTACTAATACTAACTTTAACAGAGGTCAAAATACAGGGCTTTCGTGTAGCCCAAGAATTTGACGTGACGTTTAGCTCAAAGTAACATCCTGTTGAGTTTCTCGTCGGATCCTCTCAGAGATTCGCAATTGCGATCCTGTAGATTTAATTGGATCAAATATCTCTAGTCTGTAGACGAGAAAATTCAAGACGGAACATTACACGACTCGTTCGCCGATGAACCTAATCAAAATTGGTCTGATATATTCAAAGCATAGAGACAGCAAGCAATAGGGAATCTGCAAAATAATGGCGGGACCATTAATGAAGATTATTACGACCTTTTCCAGGAACTATAAATGAGTTGTGGTTTTTTTTTTTATTCACTAATTACTAATCACTTCAATATGTCAAATATACTCGTAGCATTGGCTATCAAATTGTTTAACCTCGTATTCACTATTTGATCCATTTTCATTCTAATTATATCAACGGGTTAGGAATTCTGCGTTGAAGTCAGGACGTGTAGTAGTGATAATTGACATTTGGGTACTCCTTATTCTGGATCTCACGTATCTTTTTGTTTCTCGTATTTCTTAGGTTCTCATGACGTAGTTGGAAACACTACTCTCAGACACAGCCCACTGAGTTTCTCGCCGGATCTTCTCAGTGGGTCGCGTTTCCGATCCGGTGGTAGATTCTGCGAAGCACGGCTCTTGCTAGGGTACGTGTTAGCATCGTCGTCAGGTTTGAGCCCCGTGAGCTCACCTACAAACGTTAGGGCGAAGCTGAAATAGCCTCTCAAGGCTATCAGCATAATTAGGAGAAAGAAAAAAAATATGGAAACACTAGCGTAAAATAAATACATATACCACGAAATGTAAGGGCTTAGGCTTTCCTTAACATTATATAAGTTTAAGTGATTTAACGAAAATAAAAAATTATGTAATAGAATTACTGCCAATGTAAATTATGTAAGTAATAGTAAATAATTACTGCCGTGTTTCGTAGCCACAGCCACGACGGGTGAAGCACGTCTTTATCAAAATAGTCTTATAACATACGAAATTTAACAAAAAAGAAAAGTAACTACAAAAACATAAAATAAGTATATCATAAAGGTCCACGAAATCAATTAAATTTGTATTATCAAGGGTAATTCTAAAATTACCAGTCAGATTTTCGTAAAATTTCAATGGGAATCCATAAGTAGCCCATAAGCTTTCAAATAAACAAGAAATATCAAAATCAGTTCACCCAGAAAAAAGTTCTAGATTATTAAAAATACAATCCAATTAACAACCCGCTCCTTTTTTGTGGGTTGGTTAAAAATGTACCACAAAATTCTCCGAAACATTTTTGATATTAATGAATGATAACTTAGTAATCAGACCTGTCAAATAAATAAATAGCTTTTTATAATATTAATGATCTAGTTTTACAATCTTATATTAATCAACAAATATGACTTTTGTTAGTATTTTAGCTTAAATAATGTTATATAAGTACGTGTATTTTTTTTTACTTG